AACAATCCTGAAAAGCACCACTGTTGTAAATGAAAGGGGAAGGGGGATGGTGAGGAGTGGAAATTATACTATTAAATATTAGCAGGACTGAACTCTCACTTGTACCGTCATGACAACCAAAGACCAAACTCTGATCCATTTGCATTCTTCAATTTCCTCCTGTCCTCAAATTGCCAATGTGATTAATCTTTATGGGTTTTCAATCTTTCTTATTCGTACACCTGGATGTATGACTTGAATAGCTTAGCAGTTTAAGAACTAACTTCCCCATACTGTAATTCTTGAACACCTTTAAGTGAACAAGTGTCTCGCATGTACACAATGTAATTTCAAATAAAGGTCTATAATTAAAGAGTATTAAAACAAAAAAACAGCTAACCATCTGGGAGGAAGGTGCCAGGTCCAGCAAGTTCTTCTTGTGGGACATTAGATGGGATCTGTTCATGGGCAAGTGAATCATCGTCTTCCTCATCATCTTTAACCTGAAGAGCGAGTGGAGGTGGCGTTGCGATGGGTGACGTTTGTATAGACTCCTCCACAACCCCACACTTGCGAGCCCCCAGAGGAGCATCAGGAGCCAGTACCACGACAGCGGGGTTCTCACAGGTGAAGAGCGCCAAAAGTTGCTGCCGGTCATCTTCACATACCCCAGTCAGGTCCAGGAACTGGAAGTCCTGCAGGTTGTGCAAAAAATTAAGATTGTTATGAATATTTGCATTATTACAAAAAATACTAAAATATACATACAGTACACAGGCACTATGGATTAGGTTACTTGAGATTGCTTGCTGGTTAGGCAATAATTCCCATGTCCAGTAATAAACAAAAATATTGAAATTGAACAACAAAGGAAGATCAGAGTGGACACATGTCACTACAGGATAACTTCACTTAAAACAAAATGCATTCTATCCCCCCCCCCCAAAAAAAAGTTCCATGATTCAATGTTTGTCAAGCAACAGCAACATTCCACCGAGACATGCTCCAGACCCACAACTTTCTACCCTTTAACAACTTTCTAAACAGACTAGCCCCAGAACTGAGAGGAAGGAGCTACGAGGAAAGGCTACAGGAGCTAAACCTTATGTCCCTGGAAGACAGAAAAGTAAGGGGAGACATGATAACCACCTACAAAATTCTCTGAATTGGTAGGGTGGACAAAGACAAACTATTTAGCAAGGGTGGAACACAAACAAAGTGACACAGGTGGAAACTTAATACCAAAATGAGCCACAGACACTAGAAAAAAAATTTCAGTGTCAGTACTTAACAAATGGAATGCATTAGGCAGTGATGAAGTGGAGGCTGACTCCATACGCAAATGTAGATTTGAGCCCAATAGGTTCCAGAATCTGCACACCAGTTGATTGACAGTTGAGAAGCAGGACCAAAGAGTCAGAGCTCTACCCCCACAAGCACAACTAGACAAGTACTACTAGGTGAGAACAAAGTTAAACTACTGACCCTCCAAGATGCAACCCAAAACGCTGCCTGTGACAATGTTGACAAGAGTCAACAAAACGCATCACTTCGCATCAGGCTGCAATCAAATTGTAAAATAATCTTTGGAGGGTTGATTACTCGACTTCCTTTTCAACTGAAGAAAAACCCATCAAGAAAATACGAAAAGATTCGTGCTATAATCACTAATCTTGCCCCCTTCGTCGTATTCAATAATACCCGTGCATTTACGAGACGGCTACCAAAATATACAGTAAACGAGCTATACACTATTGAACAACATTTGTACGATACAAAATAAGGAAAGGAAATAAAATGGCAGAGGCCAGAGGGGGGCCCCCGGACACCAGACAATATGGGGGGGGGGGGGCCGGTCACCAGACAAGATGGGGGGCCCAGCCACCAGACAAGAAGGGGGGGCCCCCCCCCCCCCCCCAGTCACCAGCCAGAGGGGGGCCACCAGACAAAAGGGGGGGGGGGCCCCTGGACAGACAAGAGGGGGGGGGGCCAGTCACCAGTCAGAAGCGGGCCCGGTCACTAGCCAGACTGGCCGTGTCTGCACCTCTACCACACCAGAAGGTACACATGTGCAAGGCACAACACCTTGTGTCCCTCTGCTAACCAAACATGCGAGCCAGGTTTGGAGGCCACCAGGTGTGTGCGCACACACCTGGCGTCACACCGGTGACGCGCCACATACCTGCATGTATAGAGAGGGTAACGAGCCCAGTGTTAAAGTGTGTTGCCAAGCGGCGAGGAGTATAGAAGGGCGGTGTGTATGTGTGAGTGTATATGTACCGGGCGGTGTGTGAGGGGGGGGGCAGCAGCCCCCTCCTCACACCTCATACCCTCTCACTCACACCTCTCCTGCCCCTCACACCCCCTCCACAACCCCCCCGCGCCTCACCTGTGAGGACGAGGACATCTTGCAGCCGCTTGTATCATATATTCACCAGAGAAACCATCTTGAACTCTCCCTCACCACAACCTAAACATTCAACATGGAGGCTGGCATGGGAGGACGAGAGTAAACCTGGGTTGTGATTGGTCGCCACCCGCGGCCTCCCGGAGTATCGCGCTTGTGATTGGTCCAGAGTGAATCTCCCGCCAAATTTGAGCCAATAGCCAGCGCCCTAATGGGTAACACTTCCCACGGACCACGTGAAGGTTATTCTCATATGCTTGCCATTTTGACCTATGGAAAGGGGCTATCGCTATTATTACCGTCTTGTAATTACTGAGGATAGAATTGGATAGGTTGGTAATAACGGGAAGTTTGGGAGAATTAACCTCCGCGCAGGGACCCTCACCGGAGGGAGTCGAGGCTCTTAAGGGAAGAGATCGAGTCCGGCTCAATAGAACTCTATCCTCTTCATACATATCTTCACGCGTCCTTATTGTCCATATACTATCTACCATTCCTTATCTACCTAGGTCTAGTCTACAATTCTACCCTTAGAACGGCGCACATTTCATGCAAATTATGATCTACACGTTTCTTACGATACTTAAAATGTTATTATTAATTATAATATCTTACTCGCCAACCTATATTTTTATATATAAAGAATATTTACATTTTTATAGTGTAATATTTACCTTAATTTACCCGAGAGCCACTATCTAGTGGCCACGGTAAGGACAGGAAACCAGCGGCTTGTTAAATGTCTCCCTATTTGTCCTGATAATTTTATCGAGCTGGATTTTAAAATTCAGCAGTTTTTTTTTTAGCAAGTACTGCATCGACGGGTAGGCTGTTCCATGGGATTATATAACCCTGTGGGTGAAAAAGTCCTGTTTTCATTGTGAGTTATCGAGCTTGAAACCGTTGAAATCGAAGCTTGAAATCTAGCTCGTATTTTCTAACTCTATCATCATTACCTAGCCTCAGAACTTTACATTTATCAGCACTAAACTGCATCTGCCAATCTTTTGACCGTTTTAAACCCCTATTTAGATCAACTTGTAGTGATAGTGAGTCTTCTTCTGTGTTAATTTCCCTACTGATTTTTGTATCATCGGCAAATTTGCAAATGTTGCTACTCAAACCTGAATCTAAATCATTTATATATACTATAAACAACAGAGGTCCCAAGACAGAGCCTTGAGGCACTCCACTTACATTTTCCCACTCTGACTTAACCCCATTTATACTAACTCTCTGTTTCCTTTGGTATAGCCATGCCCTAATCCAACATAATATAGCAACTTAATATTTTGAAGATGAGTCCGGGGTCTCCATGCTTGGATGCAATAATGCAGGTGGGGCCGCACTAGAGATTGATACAGTTGAAAAACTATCTTTGTTTAAGATTCAGCTACTGGTAACAAAAATTTCCAAGTAGCACAAGCTATGGTGAGCCCGTAGTGGACTTACCACTTAAGTGGACCTTAAGTTAAAGTACGCTTGCTTATTCCTAGGGTTTGGTTAGTTTTTTTTTTTTTACTGCCACTCCCACTTTTGCAACTTTTAGTGAATGATGGATTCTGACTCCAAAGTTCTTTTCTTCAACAATCTGCTGCAGATTTAAAAAACTGCGATTAGTTATATTTTACCCAAATCCACCTTCAGTTTTTAAAATACGATAAATATTGAAAATATATAACTCTTGATTGTTATTTTATAGCGTAATTCAGGATGATTCCACATATTTTAAGTTTTTAATTACGTCATTTTATACTGAAAATATGCAAATAAGTGAAAACGGTGATTTGTCATATATTACCCAAATCCACCTGCTGTTTTCAAAATACGATGAATATTGGAAAAATTACTCGTTGCTTATTATTTTTCAGCGGAATTCAGGGTGATTGCACATATTGCACATATTTGGAGCTTTAAATTAAGACTTTTTTATACAGAAAAAATTAAAATTGGTGAAAAGGCGATTGGTCATATTTTCCCCAAATCGCCCACCAATTTTCAAAGAAATAAGACTCTTGAGCGCACAAATCGACAACCCCTGTTACCGAATCACTACTTACTTTCCTAAATCTTAACTTATCCAATTTATATCCATTGTTTCGTGTTCTATTATGTTATATCTGTAGGAGCGATGAGGACACCTATGCTCAGGGTATTCGCCCCAGACAACTAGGCCACGACATGGTAAAAGGATTGCAACCCGGTGTTCTACTGAACCCACGAGGGTTCCTGAAGCTTCAGGAATACCCTGAAGTATTGTGCCTGGATAACGGAGATAGTAATAAAGCTTTACCCGGGCAGAGGCTGCCAGGCTGGGCTTGTATGTGGCGCAACAGACCCATCACATATGCTCCACTATACTCCCATTGAATACAATTTATAACATTTCCAATTTTGTAAATTTTTTCGGACTTCTTTGATAATTATTTACTGCAGGATATTTGTTTATAAATATATAATAATCCAGAAATCATTATATTATTAAACCTGCCCTCCACTATAATAAATATTGCTCAGGGAATATAACCTGGATATAGTGTGACAAAATGTCAACATAACTGGTCGAAGGAGGAGAAGACCCGCGACAACAACACCCACCACAGTCTGGTGAGCTCTGTTTTACCACCTTTGTCATAAGAAAAAGAGCCTATTAGCATAGCAAGCAGTTTCATAACCCAAAACCAAGGAAAAGCTGTTCTTATTCCATTTCTCCAAAATATTAGATATTTATTTCCAGCCGAGGAAATTGTATGGTTAGTTATCAATGATTTTTTCGCCCTAATGGCCTTGTAAGTAATTCATTCCCACGCGGATGGGAGCTATTTTAATATTTGACAAAGTGTGGTAGTGGAGGGTAGCTCACTGGTATCCCCATGTCTGTGTGAGGTGGGGATATTGGGTGACCATAGCACTGGTGGGGAGCAACCATCCCCGCCCTTTCCCTGAGGAAGAACGACTGGGTTATATCCCCTGGGCCCAATGGCACGACTGGGCACCGTTCTTTGACTGCACGTAACAATAATTGGGGGACTTGGAAGTTAAGCAATTAACAAATTATATTTTAGAGTATGGCACTGAATGCCATACTGTTCATCCAGCAGTAAATAGGTACCTGGGAGTTAGACAGCTGCTACGGGTTGCTTCCTGGGGTTGTGTGTGTACGTGTTAGAAATATATGTAGACATCATGGAGGACAAAAATAGATCGGTTAGAAAGGTGGGATCCAAGAGCTAATAGTTTGATTCTGCAGGTACAAATAATTAATACAATGTTGTTTTATCAGGGGGCATATCCATGAAAATAGGGGCTGTGACAAGCACTGAAATTAAAAAAAATTATATACTGTGTGTGTACACAGATATATGTGTGTGTGTGTGTGTGTGTGTGTGTGTGTGTGTGTGTATATATATATATATATATATATATATATATATATATATATATATATATATATATATATATATATATATATATATATATATATGCAAACAAGCCTGAATGGTCCCCAGGACAATATGCAACTGAAAACTCGCACCCCAGAAGTGACTCGAACCCAACATTTGCGTTGCTCCTGGGAGTATGGGTTCGAGTCACTTCTGGGGTGTGAGTTTTCAGTTATATATATATATATATATATATATATATATATATATATATATATATATATATATATATATATATATATATATATATATATATATATATATATATATATATATATTAAAATAAAATATCACTACTGTAATTTCATTTTCTATAAACTTACGACTAGATGTCCTTATAGCCCTCACCAACATTAACAAAAATACAGCTTGTTTTACTCTTTGATGATGAGAGGAGTAAAAGTGTACATAAGACCCAACATTTGTTGGCTTTCTACATGCAGAACACACAAAAATTATTTTCACATTGATAACAACACATCTTAGAATGGTAAGGCATTGTCTTGTTCAATTTCTATTGTCAACTTAATGGATGGGGCTAGATTATTTCTTACTAATAAAAATTGTGGAGACATTTCTATTAGATTTAAATACTCTAGCCCTATCCATTAAGTTTATGTAAAGAATAATTGTATGGTTGTAACACTGTAAAAGTGTTTGGTTTAGTTTAATACATACATAGAGTACATGAGTCACAGACAAGGATCTGAGAGGCGCCAGTTGTCTGCCTGAGATCTCACACCTCAAAGCGTTAATGACCCCAAGTGACCTGAGGTCAGATCATGAGAATTTCACCTTGCTTCCGCTAAGCTCTAATTGTAGTCTGGTAGCCTTCAAACATGCCGACGTTTAAGGAGTGGCTTGGTAGTGCCGGAGGCTATCTACTTGTGGGCGGAGTTAGCTACTAGGTTCCCCAATATAAACTCGGAGAGCTATCGAGCATGGAGCATTAACAGACAGAACAGCAGACGAGAGCAGAGAAGACGTCCCTAGCAGGGAGGCTGTCGGCCGGCAGGGGCGAGACAGTCTCTGTCAAGCTACAGACCCCCCCCCCCCTCTATTCAACTTAGACTCAGTCCTCGGTGAGTGAACATTAAGGTGACTTGGTCGTGTTTTACAAGTGTTGTGTGATGATCAGGGGCAGTCAAGTTGTAGGGTTCTCAGATTCTTGGAGGATGACTCACTTTGAATATTAATCTGTTAACATTTTAATTGGATTGCTTAAGTTATGATACTTATCATGAAAAATATAATTGTTGAATTTATTATTTAAATGGTCTTTCACTGTGTTCCCTAGAGAATTGAGTTGAGGTGAGAAAGCCTCTGTGGTTACTGGTTTCATGATTTAGAATGAGTACATGATAAAGAGGGAACATACTAATAATGAACTCATGATAACATCTTTTGAGAATATTGTGATACAGACAAGTTCCATTCCTTGTCTTGTATGTAATGATCATGAATGGATGGTGGCAGCATTTCGTCTTCTACTATCTACTCTTCTACTTCTACTATCTACTCTTCTACTTCTACCTATCTACACCTCTCCCTCCACCCCTCTCTAAACTCTCACTTTCAACTAATGACCCTCCTCGCTCCTCCCACCTCTCTGCCTCTCACCCCAAACCCTCACTAATTACTTCACTATTCATTTCTTCCCTTTCGTTTTCTCTTATACGTTTGTGGCAATGATTCTGTATTCTAGAGTTCTCTCTAGAGTTTCGGGTAGCTGATCCAGTTACGGCGCCTTGTAGTCTTAGCACCTAGGTAGTCAAATACCTAGGTTACAAGGTGTTGAACGAGAGGTTGCCTTAGGAACTCTGGAGGTGCTCTAGAATAGTTAGCTAACTGGAGACGGGATAACGGACTAGAGAGAGCTGTTTCCCCCGGCTTCGTTAGTTAACTGGGGGGTGGAATAATGGACAAGATAGAGCTATTTCCCCCACCCCCCGTTACAATGTTGGCAGCGGTGTTGAACAATGTTGTAGGTAGTTGGTGTTCTTTTAACATTGTTCAGTCCCACGTGTCTTTTTGCCGCTCAGGCGCTATCAGGGAGATCTTGACAGGTGTTTTACTTTCGCGATTTAGCGAGTTTTTTCAGGTTAGGAGATAGTGATTCTCTGGTGTTGTGGTTTAGTGATTTTGTGAGTTTTGTGGTGTTCAGGGAATGTTCACCAGAACTTGCGTGTGTAGTGATTTATGTTAGTGATAAGATTTGGCGATTTGGGAACTTAGCGGTGTTGGTAGTGCAGGTCAGCTGAGTGTGACAGGTGACCTCGCATGTCCCACGGGGACACCCAGCCACCGCTGGTCTCCAGGTCAGTGGGGAGTGGCAGGTATAGTTCTTAAGTAGTATTTAAGTGGTGGTTCTGCTCAGATTATTGCGATCGACTGTTTACTCCATTTGAACGCAATAACCCGAGGTGTACTGGTATTGTACAGCATGCTAGGGGGAGGCTTAGTATGTCAGTAGACTTCACGTTGGGGACGCTCGACGTTAGATAGTCTGGTCACAGGGGTGGCAACAGTTTGGAGTTGTTGACCGGCGGAGATGCTAGGGAAACACTCTGGGTCACGTAGGTGGCTGTAGGTTAAGGGTGGGAGTAACGGTTAATTATGTACTTAAGATTAGGAACGGTACAGTTAAGTTAGGCTAGTGTTTTGTCTATTAGTGTTGATTTTTTTTTGACAAGTTAAAAGTAGTGATGACCTTATTCTCTCTTCTCTAACTTTCCTCTGTTACTGTTTTATGTTCCACCAAGTCAATATCATTCAGAGTTAATTGGATTATTAAAAAAAAATAAGTGTAGTTGTTGCCAGGAGGAGAGCGGTATAATTGGACTGTGTAAACCCTATACAAACTACAGGGTCACACAACAGCATGGAACACGGGTATTGTCGCCTTTATGTTCATCCACAGGTGGGAGCCAGAGGAGAGGCGCGACGCATATACAGAAGAGGGAGACGGCTGCTGTGTACCATACTCACGGGCGTTTATCACCACCACCACGACCAGCCCACTACCTGGAGGTCATGGCTTCACCACCACCACCACCCCAGGGGACCCCAAGATGCAGCCCTCTCGGTCGGTCAACATTGGTCTACCCAGTGGACCCCAAGACGGACGGACCCCAGTGGACCCCAAGACGGACGGACCCCAGTGGACCCCAGGTCGTTCTGCAGACGACCCCAGACGACCCAGTAAAAATGGAAGAGGAGCAACAACGACTCCAGTCTGTCCCACCAACATCGGTCTACCCAGGATGGACCCCAGGACGGACGGACCCCAATGGACCCCAGGTCGCTTGTCAAAGACCCATGGGAGGAGGAAGAGAGAAGAAAGAAGAGAGAAGAAGAGAGAGAAGAAGAAGAAAAGAAGAAGACAAGAAGAAGATAAGACAAGCTGAGTGAGACACGATGCCTAGTGTCCCTTGCTGGTGTCAGCATCATTGCATGGAGCGTAATTGCAAGACAGGATCGTTTGCCTTAACTGGCCGCCCCTCCTACAAGCATGTTGCTCTGTTGAGTGATTCTTCCTGTGTCATGCGGACTTGATGTGGCTGTCAGAAGTAGCTCTCTGAAGGAGGCGTGCTGGAGCAACAGGGAGGAAGAAGAGTAGGATGGGATTTCTACTGTTGGCAACTATATGAAGGTCTCGAAACTTGTAGTCCCTATAGCTGTGAAGAACCCCAATATACGTCTCTCATGGTGACTGACGTAGGGCCAATTACAGATCAGCTGGGACAACCGAATTCCACGGTCCTGTGCGCAGTTCAAGTAGTAACGGCTTTCGGGTTGACCAAGGGTTGTTGTGCGTTAACGACGGAGAAGCGACGGAGGCAGTTGTGTTGAAGAAATGTGGTACAGGATTATCTACAAGACCAAGCAGTGACGTCGCCCAGCCAGAGACAATGGACGTCTGTCTATATATTTCATTTTTTAGAGTAGGATGATGTATATTTGTTTAGCTAGGATGTATTTTTTTTTTCGTTAATAAAGTTGTTGCACACAGCTAGCTTGCTTTAGCAGTGTTGCAAAAACTTTATTTCGGGGAGAAGGGGAGATGTAACACTGTAAAAGTGTTTGGTTTAGTTTAATACATACATAGAGTACATGAGTCACAGACAAGGATCTGAGAGGCGCCAGTTGTCTGCCTGAGATCTCACACCTCAAAGCGTTAATGACCCCAAGTGACCTGAGGTCAGATCATGAGAATTTCACCTTGCTTCCGCTAAGCTCTATAATTGTAGTCTGGTAGCCTTCAAACATGCCGACGTTTAAGGAGTGGCTTGGTAGTGCCGGAGGCTATC